ATTGATAGAAAAATCGATAAGTAATCGTTAACAAAATCGATAATTAATCGATAACAAAATAGAAATTGGAATTGACAAAAAAAAAGCGATAACTAACATATTCGCTGCCGAGCGAACTTCACATTTCGCTTTGGCTGTATTCAACTTCATATGCTTGCGGGTGTTGACAGCGCAAATTTCGCTGTGGTGAGTTTTATTAATTAGTTTCAAAATTTTAATCCTTATTTTAATCCTTTGGAAGATAAGTACATGCGGCAGGCTTTGTATAAAAACAGACAAAAAAACTGTTTAGGTTTTGGGCGAATAATTGACTTACTACTAGTCACCAGTTTCGAGTCCGTTCGATTTCTGAGTATGAGGCCTTATGTAAGACAAAAGAGAGAATATAAAGGACTCAAAAGGGGGGAACTTAGCCTATGGTTACAGAAGATATAGAATAAATTCACCGACGAAGACTTTCTTTTCTCTCACAGTGTTTACCGCTGGTCAATCGAAATAAAGTTTAAAATTTAAAAGCTAATTAATAAAATTAAAGTAAAATCTGTGGAAAATTAACAAAAAAATACTTTTCCCAAAATCTATAAAGGATACGTTTATTTTTCGAAAAAAAAACCTGCGTAACAGCCATTCGTCGCCACCCTGTAGTATTTGCCTGAAAGAACATTTATTTTCGAACAAATTGATACCTCAAAATTATAATGACAAAGTTGGGCATTAAAAAATTAACGTGTCCTTACGTTGAACAATTGTCATTAAATTCATTTCTACATGGATACGTTCGTAACGTATTGTTTAACAGTTAAGTTATAAGTAAATTTTTGAAAATTTGAAATGAATTGAAATTTAAATAAAAACTGGAGTTTTTCTTGAATTTATTATTTTACGCTTGTCCTCCTGTCTTTAGGCTCTCAGCGAGTAATTAAAAATTTTTTAACAAAAAGCCCATGTTTTCATCTAAAAAATGTTGATTTTTATTTACCTGGTTGGTATAAGTTAATTTGGGTGTCAGTTTTTTTTTACCGGAGTAAGTGGCATTTTAGAAGGTGCAAGTTTTTCCGTAATTTTCGAAGATTTTCATTATTCTTTTAGTACCTCTTTATAAAAACGTCAAACAATATATTAGTGCAACTTGTATGTTAAGATAAGAGAAATCAATGAAAACTAGAAATAAAACTTGAATAAATTCTGAATGAAATGGCTGTCAGACTATCGATAGTGCCAAAAACAATCAATAGTAGCGAAAAGTAAAAAAAAAAACATCGATAGTGCCATCGATAGTTTTTCACCTCTACTTGGTACCTGCTCTACTCGTGCGGTACCTGCTCATCGTGCAGTTGTCTCTGTTGTGTGCTTTCGTACGTAGATTTTTACTGCCGTAGATCTTAATGGTAATAGGCGAATATTATGCTTTTATGCAGCAATAAGGCGGAATTCGTGTTTCCTTTCGGTATTTTTTTAGTTTGCGCCGAGCTCCTCTTTTAAAGTTGTTGAGGTTGTAGTTTTGTATCCATAATTAGTTCTACAAATGGGTTGTCCGTCTAGGCACAAATGCGCAGTAGTCTGGTAAGGCTTAATACCTAAAGAAGGTCGCCCGCTAACCGAAGCACTCCGTTTACGTCTGGGCTTTATATAGGCGCCCATCCAAGCTGCTCCTCGGCAAGGGATGCCCTTTGTAATAGGGGGTGTTCATCGTCGCAAGGTGACAAAAAAACCGACGAGCCGGCGATTTAAGATATTTCATTAACGGCGTTTATTTAAAGAAAGACGAATGAAAGTACCTATTTCAAAGTGTTAAGAAACCACAAACAATACAAATTTTTGCTTTTGTTTATTGGACAAGCTAATGCATACATACATACATATGTACATATATGGAATACAAACCATTAACTGTGTTGTCTTTCTAGCAATTAGCATGTGCAAGTAGATGTATGAAATTTGTTTGCTTTTGTTGTTGGCGCAGCAACTTAATTATGAACGTCACAAGCAAACACGTGCAACGCAAATGCAGGCACAGAAAAAATGTAAACCACTACAACAACAATAAGCATTTAAATTGCAAATGAGCATTTTGTACCTACATTTAGATCTGTATTTTCACACATATACATACATATGCACAACAACATACATAAGTGTGCACATCTAAGAATGCAGTATTTACATGACTGTAAAAGTAGATATATGCAAATTACTGAGTGTGCAAAAATCCATAAAATCCTTATCTACATTTGCATATACATACATACATACATATGTAAATGTGTAGTACGACTACAAGCGGTGCTAAGTATCGTTTTGCACACCCGCCCAATCTTGTTGTAGACGAGAATGTCAATTATTCTTGAATTTCCGTTCCTCGAATAAAATGTCGCTCTCATGTTGGATGGCAATTTAAAGCTATAATTTAGCGATAGTAAAAGCTGGATAAAACACTTTTGCTGAAGACTGACTTCTGACATTTAGCATTCAGTGCCACGGGGCGTATACGTTTCGTGTTCTCTATGTATGTATGTAGGTACTAAGCCGTTAATATCCTGCAGCATTTGTCGCACAATTAAATCTTTGTTGAATTTCAATTACACAGCAATAATCATGATGAGGCTAAGTTAGTCTTTTTTTTGTTAAGCGAAAAGTTCGGTGACTACTTAGAGAAATAACCAATGCTAAACGTACCTAGTAGTTGTATGCTTGTGTATGGCTAAAGAGTGTCCCATAATTTACGCAAGCTTTAGATTAAATGACATCTGCTGTGGTTGTGTGGTTGGAGGTGCGTGCTACTACTCCGTAGGACATGGGTTCGATCCCTGGTCCGGGAAACATATAAATTAGAAGCATTTTTTTCTAACAGCAGTCGCCCCTATGCAGGCAAAGTGGATTTCTGCCTCGAAAAAGCTTCAAATAAAACCATTTGCCGTTCGGAGGCGGGGTAAAATTGCAGATTCCTCCATTTTTAGCATCAAAACGCACATCAGAAATTAGATGAAAAGCTCGGCACTTAGCAAATGTCTAAGCGCCAAAATATCATTATTTACATAAATTAAATAGAAAACACGGTTATGTTTGGAATAGCAAATCGGCCATCGGGCAAATGACTGACGCCGTTTTACTGGAATATACGCCTTTTTTCGTCGAAATTCTATTGATTTTTCTAAAAAATATGATCCAATGACGCCTTCAATCATAAATCCGCACCAAAAAGTTATATTTGTGGTTGTAAACGTTTTTCGACAATCTCGTTTGGGTTTTCTAAACCCCAAATGTTATGCTAGGTTATGACGATCAACGAAGCCATCAATATGGAAATGAGCTTTATCGCTAAGGATGAGTTTGCTCGAAAAATCATGTAATCGCACTTTCTCAATTTTCGAAATATTGTTAAACTATGTATAGGCGTTGATCTGTCGTGCAGTTTTGCATTTCTATACTACAGTGACTCAAACAAGTGACCACTTTATATTCACAATGTGCTTAAATGTTGTATAAAAAATGCTAAAAAGGGTTTTTTTGGTATGGGGAATCCATTTCTGTACTTATGTTTTTCTTAAAACTTCCATCAGAGGGCGCAGCAATGAAAATTTTCACATTTTCTTTGAAATCTATTTTCGCAGTTTGGTAATCTCAAAATTTATTTTAGACCCAGGGTGTCTTCGACAAATTTGCTTAGCATTACATGTAGAATCCTCCCATGCTATGTAAAAAAAATTGACCCACCCCAACATACCTACATCCATATGTGCCTATTGAAATGCTTATTTAGTCCTTAAAAGTTCAAAGGTATATCCCGCAAAAATAAAGAAACATTGACATACATTATAAGTACCATACCATCTTACAATTAAACAAAAAGAATTTCGTCGTGCCCCACTGAGTAGGAAAGTATTTTTGTAAGGCAATTTGCTGAACCTAGAAGGCAATAATTTTTTTTAAATAGTTCTACTGAAATAATCGAAATTTGTCCTTAGTAAAAGTTCAATGATTTTTTGGAAAGTTTTAGTTTACTGACATTAGGGTAGTACTTTAGGGTGGTAGGGCCAGAGATCTGTTAGGTAAGCAGAAAAATTTCGTCCTCGTACCAAGAACATATGTATATATCACGGTATATCACGCTTTCAGATCCAACTGTAAGTGCCGAAGATGTGAAAAAAATGTAAACAAGTAATTTTTATGCAAAAAACAAACCCGACTTCAATTCTCATATGAAAATTTAAGAGTACCGTTAATTTTTTCATGATCCAATGGTCGGAACTAAACCAGATTAGTACAACCTCTGAGACACTACCTTTCCGATACAAAAAGAATTATCGAAATCGGTTGTTGTGGTCCAAAGTTATGCGGTAACATACATAAAAAAAAGAAATATTCCACGAACTGATAACCTGCTCCTTTTTGTGAAGTCGGTTACAAAAAAATAATTTATACTTTTTTTTTTGGTACGGTAAATAGTAAGCAGTAAATATTATCTAATGGTAAAGTTCATAACCTACAGGAAAATTATTTAGAAACTCCAATTTTACAACAAGTAAAACTTATTTCTGCTCCAAGTTGTTACGTATGTACATACATATATACACATAAAATGTCCTTATAAAGCTTCGCAAACCATTTGTGCGGAATTTATTTGTTTTCAGGTTTACAAATTAATAACAGCTCATAATTTACATAGCTATCCGTTGAATTTTCCAATAGCGTAAGCACACTCATATTTATACTTACTACATAGTTGTATGTATGTATGTATATCTTCAGTGAATATCAATATTTGCTTACAAGCCTACGTCTGTCTCCATTTAATTGCATAAGCGATTTGCTAATCGCATTGAATAACAAGTTGTTGTTGAATTTGATTGATTGATTAATTTGCTATTTACTAAATGATTCAGTCTATGTACAATAAACGTATGCACACACACATGTACATGCAAATTTACTTACAATAGCTACTACCTACCTATACTCGTACTCAAATAAAATACTAAACTTAACTAATTAATTTCTCTTTTCTGTTCTCTTCTTGCAGGAACAAGTTAAACTTGATGCCACCAAACAGGTGACCAGTCCAGATGATTTCGAAGATCTCAGTCCAATGCCACATACGGCTGCTCCACCGGTACGCCGACGTGGTGGCATATCAGCGGAACCTGTCACCGAAGAGGACGCCACAAGCTATGTGAAGAAAGTTGTACCCAAGGATTACAAAACAATGGCTGCGTTATCTAAGGCTATTGCCAAAAACGTCCTATTCTCGCATTTGGATGAAAATGAACGTTCCGACATTTTCGACGCAATGTTTCCAGTGACGCATTTAATGGGTGAAAATATCATTCAACAAGGTGATGAAGGTGATAATTTCTATGTTATTGACCACGGAGAGGTTGAGGTGAGTATGAGTGCCGTTTAATGAAGCGGAACCATATGTATGCATACAACAAAAACGATTTCATTATTTTTACTCTATAGGTATTTGTTAATTCTGAATTGGTGACAACAATTGGCGAAGGTGGTAGCTTTGGTGAATTGGCGCTCATCTATGGTACACCACGTGCAGCTACCGTACGAGCTAAAACCGATGTCAAGCTATGGGGCATCGATCGTGATTCTTATCGACGAATTTTGATGGGTTCTACTATACGCAAAAGGAAAATGTACGAAGAATTTTTGTCGCGTGTGTCAATTTTGGGTGAGTTGCTGTTTATAGTTTTAAATGCAAATATATTATTGTTTCAGTGGCATTTCTAATGACTTATGTGTGTATATTTCTTCAATTTCACAGAGAGTCTTGATAAATGGGAGCGTCTCACTATAGCTGATGCACTGGAACCAGTCTCATTCGAAGATGGTGAAACAATTGTTAAACAAGGTGAACCGGGTGATGATTTCTACATTATCTTGGATGGTACCGCTGTTGTACTTCAACGACGAGCTGAGGTAAGAATTGAGGTGTTGTATACTTAATTATTATTACTAATAGAATTGATTTTTTTTTTATTTGCAGCAAGGGGATGAGCCCGCCGAGGTTGGACGTTTAAGTCCAAGTGACTACTTCGGTGAAATTGCTTTGCTGTTAGATCGCCCCAGAGCAGCTACTGTGGTTGCAAGAGGTCCCTTAAAATGTGTTAAATTGGATAGAGCGAGGTAAGAATAAAGCAATTTAAAAAAATGAAAAGACATACATAAATATTGGTAGGTCTTATTAGCTAAGGGAAAGAATTTCTAAAAAAAAATGAAGCACCAGTTTTCAAAGTAATTAAAATCTTGTTTTCAAATATTCAACTCTCACATTTTTGCGTAATTAAAGCATAGATTTGCATTTGATACTTTAAATTAAATTAACGCACTCAGTGATACTTGCTCGGTCGAAGGCAGTTTTCTCTAAAGACAAAGCAAACGGTTTTTTTTTAAGAGTAGCAGGAAAATATCATTGATCCGCCATTTATTGTGTCTGCTATTTCTTATCCGCCCTTGCTTATGCCTGAGCAGAAGAGACACATTAAAATCATATATCGAGAGAAAAGATATGGCTTTATCGGAATTCAACTGAAACCTTGCTCGCGAAGTTATAGGGTTTTTGGTCAACAACTAACTTCCTTTTACAAATGAAGTGTCCGAAGGTAAAAACGACATTGCAGCTGCTTTAGACCAGGGGTGCTAAACAAATTTAACTTACAGAGTCAAACGAGAATAACGTCAATAAAACTTAAAACAACCTCGTTCTCGGAATAGCAAAATAATACTTCAACCCAAAGCTATGTATGTATATATCGTTACCTCAATTCACAAAACTTGTTTCCAAACTGCGTTTTTCACAGATTTTGGTAGGATGTATTAAAATACACCTTCAATCAAATTTTTAGAGCGCTAGTACCAAAAATAATGGAGTTACATGACACTTTTTGAAAAGTCCTAGGTTGTCAATTCATCGGAGTTTTTTTTATGTATGTAACCGCATAACTTTGGACCATGTTAACCGATTTCTATAATTATTTTTTAAAGGAAGGGTGTTACCTACAGGATTTCCCGTACTAATGGTTAAAATCCGATCATTGAACCATGAAGAAATTAACGATTATCTTAAATTTTTATATGAGAATTGAAGTCGGTTTTGTTTTTTGCTTAAAAATGACTTGTTAGTACTCCTATTATAATGTTTTTTGCTTCTCCTGTAAAATAAAATAACTTGTTAGTTGGGGCCTTTGTGAATTAAGATAGCGCAACCCTGCTTTAAAACAACTGCATATTTCATAAATGCCGTGCATTACTTTTGCACGCAATTTTTTTTAAGAAACTTAATACATATTATCAATTTGCCATTTTCACAGCGGTAAGTTTACTCGAATTCGGCAGTTAACTTTAAATTTTTGTACTGAAAACCTGTAGTTAACTGCCGGATAAGAGTTAATTCGTCACTATAAAAATGGCCTTTAATTAAATATCTATTTTAATCAAGTACTTTTTGCCATTTTTCGGCTAGCTTCATAATTCCATCGATGTAGAACGTCTGTGGCGGACGGCCAATTTTTTACCAAAGGGAGAGTTTTTGGTAGCCTAAAACAAATCGAAGTCAGATCGGTCCGGGTTATACGGTGGATGCATTAAAATTTCCCATCCAAGTTCCGTAAATTTGGTCCGATTCATCTAGTCGTTATTTCGTTATTCCTTCGTTTCAATGGTCGCGTTGTCCACAGTAGAAGACCAAATTGATCGTATCACCTTCCAATCCCACCAAACACTCAACATAACCTTGTTTGCTGTCAATCCAGGCTTTGAAGTCGTTTGCTATGAGCACTTGCTTTACTCTTTCTCGTATTAAATCAATTTTTCATTTCCCGTAATTATTCGCTTCAAATTTTGTTCGATTTCTTTGCGTTTCGGCAGCATTTCACTGATGGTGTTTCGGTCAAGCGAATTTCTTTGCGATAATTCATGTGGTACCCACACGCGACCTTCTTTTTTGAGTAACCTGCCTTTTTTAGATAATTCTAAACTGTTCCAAAGAGCACATTTTTTTTTTTTTAATTTGCGAAAGCAGCAATGCTGCAATTGTCACTTTTGTAGTAGATGTAAAATGGGTAAGCTATCAGTTTTCATCATGAGTTTTCATAAACGCTAGAAAACTAAATTTGATGACTGTCAAATTACAAGCATGCGGTTTTGAAACCCTGAAATAGAGAAACCTATACATATGTATGCACTTGTATATATGGAATTCAAGATGATCTTAAAAATTTTCTCTTACATTTATTTAATCCGGAATTTCTATCTTTCACTTTTACAGATTTGAACGCGTTCTAGGACCTTGTGCCGACATTTTGAAGCGTAACATTACGCAATACAACAGTTTCGTTTCATTATCTGTTTAAATTAGCAAAATTATTTAAAGATTCCACAATTACATACATGCATAGAACGAATCTTTACGAAGGCAGTGACTTTATAGTTGTTCGGATTAAACATGGAAGAAGAGAAATTTCACAGAAGGAAGGAAATTAAATCAACGGAAAATAAAACAAAAAAGTTTAATATTAAAAATCTATACTTAAATAGAATCAAAGACAAGTAATTATCAAAAGCAAGAGAAAAAGAAGAAAGTAAAAAGGGAATTGAACTTTTTAGACGGATACAAAATTTAAAACTCTGAGCAAACGCAGAGAAGCAACATGGGCTGTTGAAAGATCTGCGCAACTTAAAAAAATATACAATTTGGAGAAAAGCAAACCTAATTTAACAACCAAAACATAAACCTTTATGCATCCACTTGTGTATAAATGGCTAATTGTATGTTTTTGCGAAAACGACAACTCTAGCACTATGCACACTAAGACGCGCGCATTTACATGTACACAAGCACAAAACTCATTGCAACAGTGTGCATAATTTGTATGTTTTTCATGCACTGTTTCGAACGTGAGTGATGATTTTTTGCTACGATATAAATAAAGCGTGAGCGATATAGGTGGTTAACACGAAAGTGGGCTATCACGTAATTTGTATGGATCACTACCAATTATTTCAAAGAAAAAAAATTTTAATATTGTGAATCCACTGGATGTATGTATTTCAATCTTTTACTGACTTTTAACTGCGTATGGATTGTTCTTTAATGAAATTCAATATGTATGTTAAACCGATTTGCTTTCATTAAAACTCGAATATAAATATGTAGAACTTTTAAGTGTATTTTCGAAAATATAAACCTTTACAATGGTACTAAAGCTATTTTTCTTTCTAATACTTCATATGCAGTTTAATGGTGGCAGTCAAGCACAGTTAATTCTTCATAGTTGTAATTCGCACTGGTTTATTTTTTGCATATATTCGTATTTAACTACTAATATTTGCAGCTTTTATGTTTTATTGCCTTTTTATCATTTTAAATAAGTAAAATATACACGTGCATATACAATAGGTGCGATATATGTGAATATTTTTATTTTAAAATTTAAATGCTTATAACTTTTAATTTGCTTTAGTACGCTTTGCTAACGTGTTGTTTTTTTAAATCAAAAAATTAAATAAAGCCCCTCTTGAACTGATTATATTTCGCTATATGTGTAATTTAAATTATAACTTTTTAGCGCCTATACAATTTTCTCTAGCTTCCATGCGTCTACCTTTTTCAACAACTTACTATATACATATAAATATACATTAATGTTAACCAAAATCCTTAATCCTAACGATAAAATGCATTTAAGGCGCGTGAAAAATGTCAAGGCGTCCGTTTTTATGTTTTAAATGCGAAGGTTTTAATTTGAGGAAATATTTATAAAACACAAAAAGGGATTATAGGAATAAAAAAAAATAAATTAATTAAAATATCAAACGAGACTCTTAAAAATCACTACTTTAAATTTTTAACATTTTTAATCTTTGAATGTATTATTATATACATGTATGTACATAATTATTTTAATTTCATGCGACTTTAACTGAAATCCCCTAACAAAAAATGGTCGTTTGTGTTGAAATGTAACAAATTTTGCACTCTGGACATAAACTAGCACACTAATACAACCTAACATGGAGTAAAACATATGTATTAATATGTACGTATATATGTATATATGTTTGTCAAGATGTGCATACATACATACATATGTGCATATATATATGTACATATATTTATGTACGTACATATATCAAAACATTATAGTGCTGGCGCGCTTTTCATGTAAACTAAAAAAAAAACTAAAAATCCATCGCATATTATTTTTAACTTATACTACATACATACATACGTATATATACACTCCGTTGCAAAATGATAAATGCAGCAGAAAAATCGTTGCAAAAAAATTAAAAAAGGAAGATTGGAACAAACTTTTTCCTTTCAGATAGGCTGGTTAAATGTTCTCGCCTCACCCAAGGTTAAAAGAAGTGAAACAATCCAGAATTTATTTGTTGCATAGCTCCAATTATTATACCTGATTAAAAGAGGTAAAACCAGGAAATATGTTTAGAATTTTCTTAGCGCTGTAAATAAAATAAATGTTTCGATTTTGAAATCAAAAAGACCAATGTATTACGTATATACCATAGGACTCCTCTTTGATTCTAGAATGTATGACTTCTTTCGAGCAAGAAACTGCGATTTTTTTATTTTCTTGTTTATTTCCTTTTGTGCAAAAAAGGGCTTCTATTGGGGTTTTTTTCGTATTTCCGTGCTTTATTGTTAGGTATATTTTTCGAAATCTTTCGAGATTCCCTGTGGTTTTTACGCGACTCTACATTTTCCAGAACTTTTCGGGAATATTTATCTTTTCTTTTCTGGATTTTTAACTGTAACTTTTTGGTATTGTTTCGAATAGTTTAGGATTTTTTTGTTTTGTATTCTTCGTTTTTTACTTTTTGTTTTTTTTTTGGACTTAATTTTTTCAGGACTTTTTGTTGTTGTTGTTGTTGTAGCGACTTTTTGTTTTTTTATTTCTCTGGGCTTTAACTGTAGTTTTTTGGAATTGTTGTGAGAAATTTGGGCTTTTTTTTGTATTTTCGGAATATTTTCAAGGTTATTCGGGACATCTCTAAATTAATATGGTTTGTTTGCGACTCTGCATTTATTCTGTACTTTTCAGGATTTTTCGCTGTTGTTGTTGCTGTTGTATTTGTGACTACAAATTCTTGCTCAGGTAGAGGAGTAAATTGACGGTGTTGAATGGTTTTCCGCGTTGAGAACGGTTTCTTCGCAAGTGAGAAAATTAAATTTAGCAAAAAAACAAGGAAAATAATAGTTTTGAATTTATAGTTTTGCAATTTTAAGATTTTAGAAAATTTGGTTATGAGAAAAATAAATTTCCCCAACCTATCTGCAGGAGATCATTTTTATGCAAAAGCCATAGAAAAACTCTTTTTCATATCTTCCTTTTTTACTGGATTTATTATTTTCCAACGTACTATATAGTATTTATGAACCAAGGAGTTACTTATAACCGTACTCAATTACTCATATACATACATACATACATATACTTTTGTGTGGACTTATTACCTAAAAGAAATGTCAGCATGTTGAGGCGTGTACGATTGAGATTTGTTCCGACAATGAAAAAAGGGATCACTATGGTCAAAGAAACGATTAAATGTCGCAGAAAAGCACCCGCCGGCGGGTTAAGAGTATATGAAATGTTAACTTAAAAATAAAAAAATACAAAATAAAACGAATAACGAAAGTCGTTCTGACAACTTTGAGCATCGTGAATGGTGACTTTCCGTTTCTACAAACGTACATACATACATACATATATATATATATGCTGTAGCGGTATGCTAAATTCGTTAATGGTTTATTTAGTAGCAACACACGATGGCTATAAATTATTTCGAAGATCTGCCGTTTTTAACAATATAATATGTATTGAAATCAAAGGAAACAACTGATACAAGCTAAATTTATAGAACGTTTATACTAACTAATCATCGTCTATACATACATAAATGTATATTAAAAATTGTGAACTGAATTGCATATGCGATGCTTGTATGTACTCTACTGATTTAAAAACAAAACAAGGAACGTGTAGCTACTTTAAGATGAAAATAAAAATATAATTTGACTTTACGTTTCATGCGGAGACACAAGTAAATACTAATATATAATAACGATTGCATACATATATATGAAATAAAAAATACAAATACTTGCATGCAAACATACATACATACATATGTAGTGCATACAAAATTTGCATAAATGGTGACACTCACAACAGCTCACTGTCTCTTGCAAGTATGAAACGTTTTGACTTACTTAAATAAAATTTTCACAATTACCAAAAAAAAACAACAACAGATTAACGCTAGCAATGTGTCTTTCGTATATGCTGTATTTAAGTATATACATATATACACACATACATATGCAACATTGTAGACGCAGAAAATGTATTGGCAGCAAGGCTATTTACTNATGAAATATAGGTATTTTTACTCTCTACAAATCAATTTATCCAACCTCATATACGCGGTTTTTGCATTATCTTGATACACGGTTTTGTACTTTAAACGACGATATGTAATGCATAAGTATACATGCATATACATACATACATATGTATGTACATAAGTACATATGCATGTCAAAGTGTGCACTGTTAAAAGATTTCATATCTGCGCCAATAGCTTGGTGTTACATACATACAAACATAAAACAGTCATGTCCTAATTGTCTGCGTGTATTTTGTGGTACTTAAATGTCATGTTTAAACAAAAAAAAATACAGTTAAAGAAATCAAAAAAGGATTTATACATACGTACATACAAGAAATTTCCAGAAACATAAGTAAATTTATGTTATGCAAATTTGTTAAAACCAACAGAGGAAGAACAACTGCAATAAATAAATAATTACATTGATCTATTGGGTATTATATATATACATATGTAAACATTATTGCTTTTAATTCGATTGGAAAGTGGAAGAAAATGAGGTATGTATTAACATTTTCTGCACCGGTAACCCCCATACATATATACATAGATACATATATTGAATTTGACATTTGTTTTTTTAAGGTTCAAACCCCAACTTAGTTTAACTCCAGTAAATTCTGTGGAATTGTCTTATCGCCCATTTCCACCAAAGGCTTAACTGCAGTAAAGAGCTCAGAAAAGTTCCAATAATTCTAACATGCGGTGATCGACAAGGTTTATTTCTTACTATTTACTGCTTAACCTTAGTTTGCAAAATATTAGTTACCAAGTCTATCTTGTGGCCGTATTTTCGTCTCCTCGGCTTAGAGTGGGTTAAACTGACCAGAAGAAAATTTTTTTAAATTAGACATACATGTTTTTGCTGCAGATTCGGATTCTAAACATAAAAATACGTAACTTTTGTTTGATACTTTTTCTCGCTGGTGCCTTTTTAAACCTCTAAATAACCTTCGAAGTTAAACGTGTTTTTAAACCTTAGATATAGCCCTTTGAAGTATATGAATTTTTCGCTATTTTTTCTTTTAACAACCCCTTGAAAAAGATACAAATCGAACTGAAATACTTTTGTAGTGCACCTTTAGGCTTCTTTATTTACATTCTGAATGAAATATCTTTTTCTAAACCTGAGATATTGCGCTTCGAAATTTTTATTTTTTAACAGTCGTACGTTTCAATGAGATACAAACAAGGAAAAACATTTCGTCGATGCTTTTGCAAAACCGCCCACGTCCAATTGCAAAACCGACTATCTTACGGCACCCAAATTTTACAGGAGAGCGAAAAAATGGTTTTTATTTGAAGGCATTGCCTTGAGGGCTAGCTATTATTTTACAAATCTGTTGTTTTAATAACGATTTTACTATTTTACGTATAAGTCTAGGGTTACCAACCTAAATTTTCCCACAACGGCGGTTTCGCAACTGGTCGATGGGCGGTTTTGCAAAAACATTGACGATTTGTTTTCTTTTACTATTTTAAGGCCCTTGTATAGCACATAATTAGCTCTACATTTAGCCTTAAAATGAAAACAATCGAACCGCAAGGTTCTTGAATATAAGCAATCAAAGAGAGTGTCGTTACGTGACGAAAAATGGAAGCTGATTTTTTCTTTTCTTACAAAATCGCAAAACTCTGCGAATTGTTTATGGCTATTTTCATGAAACTTGTTTTAATATGATTTGGAGTAGTTCTAGTTGTTTTTAGAGTTTATTGAATTCGGAATTCGTATTAACATTTTAACATCTTGGGACCTTATGGAATCTAACCAACAACAGCCAGGTATGTAAACGTGTTTTCAAATGTTCAGTTTTGAATGTACCTACATTCATTCATACAAATTTGATTTCGAATGGAAAACCCATTTCTTGAAAACAATTTAAAACATGATAACACGCAGAAAGGTAATACCATTGAGAGGCAGTCTCACGTTTGCCAGCAATATAATATCCCTGCTAACAATTAGGTTTGATATACATTTGAGAATGATTTGAAGAAAAGAAACAATTAAGATAAAGTAATTTATAATAAATTCGTATTGATGGGCTGCAGCTTCTTCAATCCGCGCAAACATTAAATCCACTATTTGTGGGCTTTCTCTTTGAAATTGTTTTCTATTCATTGCTTTTTTTTCAATTGATCTTAATTTTATTCTTACAATTTTTAATTTAACTGCGCATTTTCGTATCGTTTGACACTTACCATCTTTCTTCAAATCAACCTCAAATGAATTTCAAATGTAAAATTTAAACCTCGTTTTCAATTTGAAAATTATTTGAAAAAAACATTTGATATCAAATTGAGAAATACATTTTTCTCAAACGTTTGAAACTGTGTTTGCTGGGTTAAAAATTCAAAACTCAAATTCACAAACACTTTCTCGTTTTCAATCTCAAACAACAACAATTGTGAACAATTTAATTTTTTTATTTTCAATTTTAAATTTATACGCCGCAAGAAAATTTTGAACTCTCTTTGTCCGTTCGCTCGATTTCAATGAAACATACACCGATTTAAACAACATAACTACCTCTAATCCAGAAACGTTAGCCCCGTTGCATAGGGGGCGTCGCATCTGACATACAGATTAAAATGTGAAAACCGATTACGTTGGGGAACTGAAACTTGGCAAGGATGCATAAATAGTAAATACCCTACTTACGGCGAAAAATTGTAGGTATTCGAAAAGTGGCACCTCCTAAATAAACTGAAAACCTCATATCGCAAATCTCTATCACCGCTTATGCTAACGTCCTGAAATTTGA